ACACACACACACACAGTGGTTGCTAACAACCGAGGACTAAAGTGGAACACCAAACAGGAAAACCTTTGGGAGCGCTCCCTAGCCCCTCACCCCCATGCTGGGTGACAGTGCACTGCTCCTGATTTCCACTGACACAGCCAACCACAGGCCCAATGACAAAGCACACCAGCCTAATGAGGACAAAGGCAGTGCAAAGTATTTTGCTAATTGAAAAACATCAGGCCTAACAAAGCTTGGAGGTAGAGGTGCGGGGCGGATCCATCCCCACCCCACCCCACCCCCACCCCCCGCAGCAGACTGGGTTTGTTTTGCCCCAAGGGCAACCTCTTGCAGGGGTGGGCCTTAACTTGCCAGCCCCTGCATGCTGGTGTGTAAGATGGAAGTAAAACGAGGTTGAAAAATGGCGGTAGGCCTTGAATCCAAGTCTGTCATTTCGAAGTTTGTATCGTTGTTTGAGCAATCTATTTCCTATTGGCCGGCAGAACCCTAGGACTTGGCATACACATTGATACAGAGGAGTGCTGCCTTGCTCTTGCCTGTAAAACAGAGAAGGGCTTAGATTTCGAGCCTCCCAACTCATCCTCACCCCCATTTCACTGTGGCTCAGTAAGTGAGCATGGACCAAGAACCTTACAGCACTCCCTGATCTGCAGCCAGTGCCGCCACGACCACCTCCTCCACCTCTTTGGCAACTTCCCAAAGGTTTAAACCCCTGGAGGAAAGAGTAAAGTGAGCCATTTTAGGGAAGAGCCAGAGAGAAACTTTTACTTCCTATGGTTGCACAAGCACTGGGAGCTCACCCTACAGCATTCTAGAAAACAAACCTCAAACAAACTCACTGCCTTCGAGTCAATGCTGACTCATCATGACCCCTGTGGTTTTCTGAGATGGGAACTATTTATGGGAGTAGAAAGCCCAGTTTTTCTCCTGAGGAGCTGCTGGTGGTTTCGAACTGCTGACCATGCGGATCACAGCCCAGTGCGTAACCACTACACCACCAGGGCTCCCATAGTGTCCTATAATCTGAACAATTGGTGGGAGTTTGGAAAGATGGCACAGGCTTCCCCTGGGGGAGTGTCTGGGAGCTGAAAACAGGGTCTCATGCTGACACTAAATTGCTGGGAAGCAGCCTTCTCCCAGAGCCACTCGCTCACTTGTGCTCCCTCCCACTCCCACCAGCTCTCCAGATCAGACCATTACCCTCGTGAAGGCCTCCCACAAAACTCCACCAATCAGACTACCCCCAACATCTTGACTTGATCTCCTGCTTTTACACAGTTTTCCAAAGATGGTCCTTTTTTACCTACTGACAACTACCCTGAAAGGCAACGAGGGGAAGGCCGGAGGGAAGGCAGGGTTCTGGTTGGTTCAGGTGTTGTCTGGGGGCTGCAGGCCTCTCCGAAGATCCTGGTCCCGGAGCTGCGGGAACCATTACCCATTCTCCTCAGAACCATCCACACCATCAGAACCAGAGCCAGAACGTGTGCGTTTGATTAGGGAAATCTGAGGTAAAATGAGCAAGGCTGAGTCTGAGCTGTGCTCAAATACTGGACCCTCCTATCCGGGAGAGGCCTGAGGTGGGTTCTGGAATTACAAAACAGTGACTATAAATTATCCAGTGTACACATCCACATGCACAAACAAACAAACAAACAAGGGCGTAATTTAGGTTTATTTTCTGTCTATGGCACAAGCTTGGTATGTTCTGTAGATTTAACTATCAAGAACGATGTCATCTAGCCACATGCTCAGCGGCGCCTTTCTTCTTCATGACAAATCATAAAAGTAAAGAGTGCGTAGAAACCCAGAAAATGCTTATCATAATCCAGTTTTTTAAAAAGTCAGGGAGACTAAGTCACACGGAGACCCGTAGAAGAACAGAAGCTG